AGAACTCTGGATGCTGAGGCAGGATTGTGGAGTTGGAGGCCAGCCTGATGGGACATAGGCTCCAAAAATAAAGCCCTCAATAATAAAGCTCATCTCACTCTACTTTCACACAAGGTGCTGTTCCTTTGCTCATCTATGCATTACAAGTGCTGAGAATGGCGCCTAACACACAGAAAATTAATGTATTTGTTGAATGAGCATAAGCTAAAACCTATTTGGTAATAATTCAATGTTTTACTTCATTCACTAATATGATATCTTAAAATGCTATAAACTAAGCCTGGCATGGTGACGTAAGCCTGTGATCCTAGCACTTGAGAGGCTGAGGCAGGATTCTGAGTTCAAGGTCAGCCTGGACTGCATAGGGAGACCTGGTCTCCGACAAAAAGTTGTAAACTAGTCTTAGAAACAATCACAATACAAAAACCTTTGTGTAAAGATATGCATGGAATATTCACATAGCAAAAATTAGAAAGCTAAATGTCTCATGACTCATTGTCATTATGTGCAAGAGAAAATTTTACTGTAAAATGTAAAGACACTTGTATCTACACTTATTGGCAAACATCCTTGCAAAAAGGAAAAAGGGTATTAGGATAAAAAGTGATTTTGAATAACAGAATTACAGATGCTTTCCAGTTTTTTACATTCTTTCATCATTTTTAGCCATACAAACAGCCAACAGAAAACATTATTAGGAAAAACAACAGAGACTGACTAGAGGAAGGCAAGTACGATCCTGCACACTGGGCAAGAGTTCTAAGTAGACAGCACATATTCGTGGTGCTGGATCAACTAGTGTGTGCTCTCTCAGATCAGTCTCATTTAGGCTGTCTTTAGTCACCAACCATCAGTGGGACCATGAGGCACAAAACAGCACACACTGAGTACCATCTCAGACTCTGGAGGGTACATTGAGATTCTCATCCTGGCATCTCAGTGTAACCTGAAAGGAGATGTAAGTTTTTGTGCTGTTCTTTAATACATATTCCAAAACGGGGGGGGGGGGGGGGGGCGCACACACACGGACGGACGGACAACACATGACACATAACAAATACACCACAGTATTTGAGTAAGGGTTAAAAAATTTAGGCCAGGTGTGGTGGTACACGTCTGTAATCTCAGCATTCAGGAGGCTAAGGCAGGAGGATCACAAGTTCCAGATCAGCCTGGGCTAGTGAGCACTGGCATTTCAATTCGCTGCAATTCAACAGCAGCCTGGACTGTATAGCAAAACCCTGTCTTATAAAGACTAGATAGATAGGTAGATAGATAGATAGATAGATAGACAGACAGACAGACAGACAGACAGACAGACAGACAGACAGAGAGACAATCTGGGGGGTGGAAGGGGTGAAGGAGTTTTTCTGGACAGGACACAGAAGAGGTATACAACAGGTTATTAAACTTGGGACCTAGCATTGCAGAGAACATGCTTGATACACTTTCTGAAGTTTCTGTGAAGCTTGAGGGTTATCTCTTAGGTGAGGGGAAGAGGGCAAAAATATATTAAATGACTGAGTCATTCACTGAATCATTTTTTCAAGACCTACTTCAGAACTGAGGTTAACTGTTAAAAGCTACAATGTCTGTGAAAAAAGAATGACCAGATACCAGTAAGTCCCAGATTCTCTGCAATGGAATATTTACACATTACCCAGAAGTTTTCCAAACTTGGGAGCGGGTAAGAGAGAAGACTAAGTAAAATAAATGATGGCAAAACTCAGCAAAGTGGTAATAGATGAAATAAAAGCTTGGCATGGTGACACACACATAATCCTAGCACTTGGAAGGCTACAGGATTGGTCCAAGTTCCCCGAATTCAAAGCCAGCCTAGGATGCACAGTAAGATGCTATCTCAAAATTGAGAAAACAGTAAAAAATTAACTATTAGAACTGCAGAGCTTGATAAGAGACTGCAGGCTGATGCATTCACTGTATGTAAGATAGGACCTAGGACCCAGCCTACCAGAACACAAAGGCTGGGTCTCTACACCAGATTCCAAGGTATTACACTCATTAACATTTCCAGAGCAAAGTGATCTGCCATAAATATGCAATTAAGTGTTCATTTCCCAGGTTCAATGCTTGGGCACATCCCATGTTTTTAAAGCTCTGACATTTTAATTCACTGTAAGCACTGGATACTCTAGACTGAGCCGTACTGAAAATCAGAGGCTGCTGTCTTTAGCATCCTGTTTTTCTAGCCTTAGGTTTTGGATATTTGCCAGTTTTATTCTAATTTCCTTCTTTACAAGAACTTTGACCCCCTTATTTGGAAACTTACCTCAGTAACAAACTTAAAAATTTCAGTATCTAAGGGTCAGCCAGATAGCTCAGCAGACTAAAGCACCTGCTTAGACAGGCGCAGGAGCCTAGTGGCGCATGCCTGTAATCCCAGCACTTGGCATGCTGAAAACCAGAGGATCACTATGAGTCTGATCTTTGTACTGAAACCCTGTAGACCCTGTACTAAATACATAAAAGAAAAAAAATTTTTTTTTCAAGTTACTGAGCTTCCACCCAAAGCAACAGTCAAGGGCAGGTCAAATAGTTCAGTGGATTACAGCACCTGCAAGCAGGCACAGGGACTGGGAACTCCATCCCCAGGGCCTGCCATGCCGGCTTTACCCACAGGGCATGCTAAGATGGCAACTGAGACTGGGTGTGGTGGCACACACAAGTAATCCCGGCTTTTGAGAGGGTGTAAACTGGCGGATGACTATGAGTCCGATCTAGTAATGAGACCTCTAGTAGTGAGACCCTGAAACCCTGTAGACCCTTTCCTAAAAAAAAAAAAAAAAAAAAAAAAAAAAAAGAAAAAAAAAAAGAAAAAAGAAAAAAAGTCTCTCTACCTGATTTACCAACAGTAAAATTGACAGAAAAATAATAAACCTTCAGAGCCTTTGGACTCTACAATATAAAGTGCTCACTAATTTTTCCTTTGGTAGTCACCAGCTATAATTGCGTATACTCTCACATACTGCAAATGGTGCAAGCAAAGACTGAGTACTTTACATACTTCTGAACACAAGTACCTATCATGACTACGGGAACTGAGCTTGAAGTCATTATGAAATTATAGTATTTGTCATTCATGAATTAACTTGAGAAAGCAGTTAGACCATGAATCAGAAATCCAAATATAGGCCTCTACAGATAACCATCTGTAGGGAACTTTGTAGTTACTGCATTGGGCAGAATGGACCAAGTGTTCTCAGGTCCTTTCTATATACTATTCCTGCTGAAAATACTCCTATGGGTCCCTTCCCTAGACTTTTTTTGTACTGGCATCCAACTCACAACCTCACATTTGCCAATCAGGCACTGTACCGCTGAACTATACCTCACGTTACCTTGGACTTTGAACGCAGCTAATCAAATCTCATAATTCACTGAGCACTTGTACGTAGATTCTGGTGCTTCAATATACCTTGTGGTTTTTGTAACTCAAATGATCAACTAAGAATCTCACATGCCACATCCAAATCACAAATGGCCCACTGAGTAGTGTACAGTAAGTGTTCACTGAATGAAATATATTAAAATATCTAAGTGTAAGAGCAATTTTTTTTTTTTTTTTTGGCAGAACCGGGGATTGAACTCAGGCCCTTATGCTTGCCAGGCAAGTGCTTATTCTACTGAGCCATCTCCCTGCCCCCATAAGAGCAATTTTAATGTGTTAAATCATGGTAAGACTGTCAAATTCTTGTTTCTTGAACTGTTCTAGGTAATGTATGAATTTCATGCAAAAAACAAAAAATATTGCAACACTCACCATAAATAGGTTAATGATTCACTTCCATTTTGTGTACTTGAATCTAAGTCATCAATCTAAGACACAATGTGGCAGAGTAGACAAACTCTAGTGTCATTTAATTCAAACGACATGACTTGAAAAGAATGTTTATTCACTTTTGTTTATAGAAATTATTCCTTTTCCTGGGCATTTCAGACAGCCATTCCTAATTTGGCTTTTGTGACTCAAATAATAAAATGAAATGCAAGTCAGCAAACACAGATATTTCAATTTACAATAATCACATTGCCAAAAAAAATTAACCAGCTTATCAAAAAATTATATATTCACTTTGGTCTACAATATGAATGCAGTATTTATAGCTCTTGGCTTAAATATGAGTCCTTTTCACGCCCACACTGATGGTTTTATTTTTTGGGTCTGTCTGGGACTCTTACTATTACCAGTGATACTTACAAATCATCATCCTTTACTGAGCAAAGCTGTTTCTCAACTTTGTACTGTTAGTAGAAAGCTGCAATATAACCCAGAAAACCTGAAACCATTCTGACATGAACCTTCCATCAGTTTGAGGGTATTAATTGGGGACATTCATAGAACTAATAATTATAAGCAAGAGTTGGTAAATAAGATGTATATCAATATTATATACCTGCTTACATTTCTGCTTTATTTTCATTTCATACATAAAAAAGAAAAACAATGGTACAATTTAGCTCTCAAGCCCACAATTTTTTTCAGTTTGCCAGAGCTAGTAATGATGCTTAATACTTGAAATAGCATTATATACTATTGAATTTTATAGGGAAGCACTATGGAAAACAATCCTCTAAAGAGAGAGAACATCTCCAGGGGCCAAATGAGGTAAAACCTACAATATCAGAGTGGTTCTCGGGCATTAGTATGGAAGATTTATGTCCATAAGTAAATTCAAGTATGTAACATTTTATTTTACAAGGTTTTCTTTAAAATATATGCAAAAAGAAAAATAAGTTGCATTTGCGCGGTCTGTTAGGATAAAGTAATACGGAGTAGATACTTAAAGTGCTAACCATCTGGCCCCCTGACTACCAGGGACAATGCCCGGCACAACCACTTAATCTAGATGACTCAGGTATATATTAAAGTTTGAGAAAAGCCACCTCAGACTTTTCACTTACCATTCATCCCTTGTACACAGATGTATATACCTGAAATAAGTTTAAGGGGCAAGTGAGAAAAAAAAATTTAGTGTTCTCACTGTCTGATCAAAAATACAACTTCAATGGACAATATGAATTAATGTAAGGTTTCCAAGCTAAAATTAATGTATACACTTATGGTAAAGAAAGTTCCAAGAATCAGAAATATTTTAGACCTAGTTTCCCCCGACATTAGAATATGCTACTTTACACATAGGGCTGGCCAGGTAGCTCAGGAATAAAGCACCTGCTTAGGCAGAACGCAGGGACTGGGGTTCGATCCACAGCACCACATGCTGAGACAGCTATTGAGGCTAGGTGTGGTGGTGCATGCTTGTAATCCCAAAGCGTGGGAGGCTGAAAAAAGAAGAATCACTACAAGTCCAATCTATGGAGTGAGACCCTGAAAACCCTGTGCACAACAACAACAACAAAAGATAGTAACACGTCAAATTCGTTTCAAAGATGAGAAACTGAAAGTAAGATTTTACATCTAAAGTGATAACATTTTATTTGAACTAGAATTAGGCTATTGATTCAGTGGTGTTTAATCCACTTACCATAATCATTCCTGCTCTGGTAAAGAAAATGTGATATATGAATTTTAAATTTATTTATTTATTTTGTATTTTAGGGAAGGGTCTACAGGGTGTTCAGGGTCTCACTACTAGATCGCACTTGTAGTAATCCGCCTGTTTACAACCTTCCAAGAGCTAGGATTACAGGTGTGCGCCACCACACCCAGTCTAACCTATAAATCTTATATTGCTCCCATAAACCTCATTGGAGGTGTTCTGTGGTACCTACTCCGAGGGCCTTTAGGTAAGTGACATCTGTAGTTTTTAGACACTTTCATAAATGATAGAGCTGGACAAGATATCAGTAAGATACATCTGTGTGTCCAAACCTTCAGGCTAATACTGACAAAATAAAAATAACCTAAGATGATACTTCAGAAGCAGTAACTGCTAAGACAGTAGGGCAAAGTAAGCCAGGAGGACGAAAGTCTCAAGCTGAAAGGGAAAGATGAAGCTAATGGTAGAAAAGCAGATGTACAAATGGCAAGACATCTTTCTCAAATACTCAAGATATCAAAAATCAGAATATTTTACCCACTACATATTTTCATAAGATGTACAGTAGATTCATAAGTGGCCTCTTTGACTTTCTGACACCAAGCCACAGAAATCAAGCCCACTAAGAGAATCCACATTTTCAAGCTAACCTAAGAGGCACTAAAGAATGACAACATGATGCCATTTATTTACAAGACTCTGAAAGACTTTTGAGTCTCCCAAGATCAAATATATACATTTTTAATATGTGAAATATTTACATAATGGAACCATACCATGGTTCGGTGTTAAGAACAGTGTTTTCAAATGTCCTCGTAAGAAGTAAAAAAATCTAGTTAACTCAATTTTACAAGTATGCTTTTCTAACAGACCAAATTTTCTTCTGAAATAAATAGACATGGAAATAACTGCACCTTATTTGTGTTACAAACTGTTTAAAACCTGTTACATTTTCAGGCAAATTCTGCTCACTGCTGACACTCTAATCCACAATTTAAAAAACCCACAGGTATATGTCTAATCACATCAGTATAAACTTTGATGAGAATAGGGAAAAATTCATGGTTAGTATAGTATAACTGTCTTGAATGATTTATCTCTGGAAATAAGATGTAAACTTTGTAAATTGCCACAATTCTTACTGTATTTTGTCAGATTCTCCTTAACTGTCAACTTGCTTTTATATTTTGTCTTTTTTAAATTTTTGGTGCTAGCAATTGAACCTAGGGAGCCTCCAGCAGGCAAAGCATGAGCTCTACGAAGCTACAGTTCGAGCCAAATTTCCTTTCAAATGTTCTTAGTTTGAAGACTTCTTTTAAGCTGAAGACCAGCTAGTGCAAACTAAACTTTCCAAAATTCTATGATCTGCCTCATTTCTAAGCAATGAAAACAGGGCACCTTGGAGAGGAAGGTCACCTTAATCTATTCTCCACTACAGTGAAGGCTGAAACAGCCAGCTATCAACAAGGAAATCCTATTTAGCATAAAATAACCTAATTATACCAGACATTTGGATCCGCACAATATCAGTTTTGTTCTATACTTCTGTAAGTAAATTAGGGAATATTTTTGTACATACATTCACACAAACACATTCATACATATACATACTGTAGGAAGAGATTGTGTGCTAATTTTCCATTCTAATTTTAACTTCCATGCCTCATGAGGGTGTGTCATTTCTGATCCAAGGGGCAAAAGGTGGGAGTGGATATGAATGGTATTCTTCCAACTAAAATCATTCATGTTGTTTCCTATACAGTACAAGTCAATATTAAGTGAAATTCTGCAAAAGAATTGGGGAGTCATTTTAATATTTACAAGGAACAAATCAGCAGAACAAGATTATATCAGATAGGCTGTATACAGTAGCTGCAGCTTATAAAACATACCAGTAATTTGTACCTGGCAAGTATAAAGACAACGAAGGATTCAGATGACTTTACAACCAAGAAGTACATAGGTCATTGACAAATTGAGAGGAAAAAAAAAAAAAAAATTCACATTTTCTACATTTAAAAAATTACAGATCTCACAAATGTCTTTGAAGGCAAAGAAAAATTCAAAGTCCTCTGAAGGATGAGAAATAAGATATCTGAAATGGAACCCTAAGTGTAATAAAAAGTTTTACTTCACAAGACCAATTTTCTTGGCTTCTGTTTCATATATCAATAATCTCCACATTTTTACTATAAAAACTTCTGCTTCTTCATCAAGTACCTGTAAGAGAAAAAAAAAAAAAACTCATTAATCATTAGCATATTCCAACAACTTAGATTAAAAAAGGTTTTTATTCACAAGCACTTAATGTCAATGAGATGACTTAAACAAGAGTAAGAAATGTATTAAATTGCACATGTAAATTAATGTCCCATTTTCATTCAGCAAACTTCACTGGCTTACTGAACACTAATATCCCATAACTTTTTGATCAAACTTTTTTTTACTCTTAGCTTTAAATATACTGTATTTATGCACATAGAGCAAAGCAACTGAAGAAAGTAAATGCTTGTCCTAGAGACCATAATTTAGGAAGAACTAAATATAACTATGTAACACAGAAAGTATCACTTATTGCCCCCAGAGCAAATTACAGTCTTAACAACTACCATGTGCTCACTATGTTACACTCAATAAAAGTTAAATAAGGATAGAGAGCATTTAATGCAGTCTCTGTGATAGAGTAAACTACCTAAGTGAACACGATCATCACGCCACAGGGGACAAAGACCGCTGAAAAACATGTTATGGTTCATATCTAGTTGTTCCCCCAAATCCTCATGCAGTCATGGGGCATGTTCTACAGTTTGTGATTAGTTCATGATCCAAGGCTGGGTTTGTGTGTGTGAGTGCTATCCCACCCTGGGTCAGAGAGCCTGAAGGCAATATAAGGAAAGGAGAGAGGCTTGGCTCTGCCATTGTTGTCACTGCCACTCCCTTTTGTTTTGCTCTTTGCTGTATTCCGCAGCCATGAACTGCTGCCCTCTGCCATGTGCCACTCTGCCTTGGAGCCAGCCAATTACAGAAAGAAACCTCCACTAACTGTGAGCTCAATAAGCCTTTCCTTCCTTAATTTTGGGTGGTGGGTATTTTTGTCCCAGCAAAGAGAGTAAAGTAACTGAGACATCTTTTTCCACCCACAATTAAACCCAATTGTTTCCCCATCTACTTAGGAGTTAAGCTGCCTCATGTTCCTGCATCTCTTCTACGTCCACACACATTTAGCACTTGTCTCCAGGGTTGCTGCCTCATGTTCCTGCATCTCTTCTACGTCCACACACATTTAGCACTTGTCTCCAGGGTTGCTTCTAGGGCAAATGGATAATCTTGCTTCCTGCTGAAGGAAGGGAGCTGACTGGATCTGAGACTATCAGTGCCTGAATGGAAAGAGGCCAAGGTCTTCCTAGTGACAATTTGGAGGAGAAATTTTCTTTAGAGGATTGGACCTCTGGTTAAACTACACAGGATCAAATTCTGCTTCTACAATCTACTAGGTTATGTGTCCTCAGATCCTTCAGGTGTAAAATGAGATGACATGTAGGGTACTACATGAGTTAATAAGTAAAAAATGCTTTGAAGAGTATTTGACATGTAATTTATGCTCAAAATAATTCTGCTCAATTTTTAAAGACAGAAAGTTTGATTTTTCTGAAAAATTATACACAACTTCTCAACGATATCACCTTAAAAACTTATAACCAGCATGGTGGTACAGGCCTGTAATCCAGCACTTAGGAGGCTGGCACAGCAAGATCTCCACAAGTTCAAAGCCAGCCTAGACTACAACAGTGAATTCAAGGTTACCCTGAAGTACATAACAAAAACAAACTTAATTTAAAAAAATAATACTTGGAAGTCACACTTCATAAATATAGTGGCATAAAATTAAGCCAAACTTCCTTAATTTATGTAAAAAGGGGAAAGCTATAGCTTAAAAGGAAGATTATTAGGAATAAAGTACTTCAACTGTAAAGTCTCTGAAGAATATTTAGGAGACCCATGAGCTTTGAGTTTTTAATAGGTTTGACAACACAAGTTTGAATGGGTTCCTCCCATTCTGATCAACAATGAAATGGAAAACACTAAAAAACAACAGTGTCAAAACACACTCCAGGGGCTGGGGAGATGGCT